CTGGCGGTCTGGCGGTCTGGCGGGTCTGGCGGTCTGGCAATTAAGGCAGTGCCAAAATATTTACCATTTGGAAATAGCCTTGATAATTTGCTGACTAAATAAATACATGTCATACGATTGCACACGTAGGCCGACTGGCCTGACATCAATTTATCAACTATGTCAATTATGTAACGTGTTTCATTATATTTGTAATAGACCATGAGACTACGAAAATTAATCGCCATGTCACTTTCCGACGAATAGGCATACTTATAAAGTGGATTTATCTCGTTTGCTATAATTTTCACATACCGGTGCTCGTATAAATCTTGCCATGAGTCTATCAAATTAATTGGTCTTGATGTAACCATATTATCCAAAATAAATGTACATATAAATATTGATATCATAATAGTCCCTAATAAATAAGTAGCCATTATGATTTTTATTTTACACGGGGTATTAAACTAGTAGATAGACAAATGTAATAATTTTATTTTTACTCCAAACATGTATTTCAAATAATTTTTAAGTTATTTATAACAATAATTTTTGTCAATAACGATATAATGATCTTATTATTTATTATTGTAATTATAATTTTATTTTGATGTTTGAACATACTTGTACTAACAAATTATATTTTATTCTGTAGTAATCCATAAAAAATTGAAAAACAAATTTGAAGTTAAATTTATATAAATGTACTGAAATAATAATTAAGTAGTACAATAATATTGAAAACTGAATAATATTGTACCTGTATCTTAAGTAATTGAAACTAATAAATTAATAGTAATCATTATATTATTATGTTTGCTATGTAAAATAATATTACACGTGTGTCTGAGTGGGGAACCTCGTTAGGTGTCAGTAAATTATGCAATTAGAATGGGTATTAAAACAAACTCTATGTCCCTAGCTACAAATTGAATTGATCAAAGTCGGCCAATATCATGAGTTCGTCCCGTAAATCCAGTTATAAAATATTGACATAGTGATTTTACACATAAAAATAACATTATTTCTATGGACGGTACTTCATGAACACTCTAACGGCAATGAACCGTCAAATTCCCAACAAAGTTCGTTAAGTTTACGGAAAATATTTACGTATAAATTCATATATAAAAGTACTAAATATATTCATGTATATTATGATGTTATTTTTATGTGTAAAATCACTATGTCAATATTTTATAACTGGATTTACGGGACGAACTCATGATATTGGCCGACTTTGATAAATTCAATTTGTAGCTAGGGACATAGAGTTTGTTTTAATACCCATTCTAATTGCATAATTTACTGACACCTAACGAGGTTCCCCACTTAGAAGTTCAAAAATTTTGAACGTCTATGAACTAGTTCAAAAAATAATATTTTAAGATCAAAGAATATCAATATATTTTTGTACCATGATTATAAGAGCAAAGTGATTATGTTGATTGTTTATCAAAATATATTATATAGTATAATATTATTGGGTTTTACAAATAGTTTGGTGCATATGATAAAATAGTTTATTTCTAAGAAAAAAAATAATACTTTGATCATTACAAAAAACTATAAAAACATTATGCTAGTTTGTTCATTGTAAAAATAACTAATTTCAATTTGCCTATGATATACAATATATAATAAATTTAAGTTACTTTATTTAATTTATTTTGCATAGTTGTTAATACTTGTTAACTCATTAATTAAGTGAATCATGTCAAATTTAAAATGCTGTATCTGCAATGATAATGCAAGAGGTAAATGTTATTTTATATACCATTTTTGGTGATGGTAAATATTTATAAAAAAAATTATATACTCTATTACTAGGTGTGAATTACGGTGCAATAACATGCTTGTCGTGTAAAATATTTTTCGTCAGGAATGCTAACAAATATAACGTGAGAAAGGACATTTATTTGATGTAAATAAGTTGTTTTAAATTTAAGAATCTTTAGGAATTAAAGTGTTTTTTCAATGGAAACTGTAAAATCGGAGTTAATTCACGTAAAAAGTGTCCCAAATGTAGACTTAATATGTGCTATAAGTTGGGAATGAAAAAGGTTAGCCTAGTAATTATTATTTTTATAATTTAATTTGAAAATCTATTTTAATATACGGTATTCCGCGCAAACATCGGCATGTCGGTGTAAAATGAGGTTGATGAGACTGCCGTTATACCCCGGAAATCACGGCATGCCGTAATAAGTGAGGTCTAAAATAAGTTTTTAATATTTTAAAAATTATTAATATTTTGTTAAATAAATACCTTAAAAATAAATTGAATAACAAATATCTTATTAATTTTAACATTTTACTATTTATTTTTGTTGTATAAATAGGTTTATGCTAGAAATACATATAAATATAAGTAAAATTAGTACTAGTATTGCTATGGTTAAACCTTATACACGACCATTCATAAACATGTCCCCTAGCTTTATACCGGCATGTCGGTAGGGTATCATGAAGCCATTTTTTAAATGATCAGCCTCATTTATAACGGCATGCCGGTGTTTGCGCGGGAATACGGTTATTTAAAATATTTAAATATTTTCGAATTGTCTTTTCATATTTTACCTGGAGCAATTATATGTGAGATATAAATAACTATTTAAACTTATTTTATTTAGATTTATATCAACATCAATAGAAAGGTTAAATTATCGAATAAATCCAAAACTTTAAGCCCAAAATCAAAAGTGAAACAGGTCAATGTCATTGACAATTATGAAGATTTAATAAATTTTGAACAAGATTATTTATGGCTACAAACAGGAACTGAAAATGATTATTATATAAAGTACGATTTAAATGTTGATAAGGATATTGGTGAATTTATTAATCAAGTCACAGAATTTATTGATTGTAAAAGGGAACGTGACTTATAAATGAGATTTCTTAATAATTTAAAAACTAAACCAATTTGCATTAAGTTTTTACTTTTAAAATAAAATTTATTGATTATTGAATGTGAATTTAAAATATTTTTATTTTATAATATTATATGAAAATATATCAGTGATTATTTAGCATAAATCAATTTACTATTAATCATGATTATTACAAAATATTTTGTGTAGATTTAGCATTCATAGCGCAATATTGTATCATGGTATTAACAGCAACATCTATATCATGTGTCCCGGTTGATAGCTCGCAGATATTTCTAAACACACCAAGTTTATTTACAGCGTATGTGTTCTGTAATAAAACAAATTATAATTACTTTTACAATTTAATTAATTATTAATATTATATAACACTTACTCTACTAAACACATAACAGTTATCATTGAAAGTGTCGACAAGTTTCTTATAACAGTCCCTATTATTGAGCTCTAGTTTGCCATTCAATGCGATATTGGAGTCAATTCCCGGCAATTCATTCACGTATTCCTCGATCTGTTTGTCCAACAATTGTCTCGCGTTTAATAAACCCTTCAATTGCTGCACGTATTGTAACTTTTCATCAATGTCATTTGTGATCTTAATTTTATGCTGCAAACGGTATAACTCTGAGTCACGAATTGGTGCCATACCACTAGGTTTATATGGCACATGATTGCTATTAACTGGCACCTTTTTGTCACCTACATAAATTACAATATATAAAATTTATTGTAATTGTAACATGTTTATTTAATTTATAAATACCCATATAATTAGATACAGGCTGTTTAGTGGCAATAGATAAATCGCCGTATTGTTGAGCGTGGTGACTATGAATTTGTTGGTGCATGGTGAAATTATTATGTATTTTAATGTACTCGTATTGGGTCGAGATAAGTTCCTTGGTCAAATCGTTGTGTTCGCTATCATCGAGCCAGATAACCGCAAAAAATACGGCTATAAAAATAACAATATTCATTAAAAAACAAGAAAAAAGTTGTTACCTCCACCGATGTATATATTATAACAAATAATAGTTTACAAAGTAATACCTTACCACTCACCATAAAGTAGTAATATAAATACATATAAATTAATTTTTTTATATTTTAAAATAATAGTACAGTATAAGCCTGTTATGTACCTAATGTACCTAAGATCACTATAATCCGGTTATGCATCAAGTACAATTGGGTCATAATGAGATTATAAAGTGCATTTGTCATAAACAAGTGCATAAAGGTACAAATGGCAAATATGAAAATCAATATATTTTTAACATTACTAATTTTAGAAGTTTAAAAATTTTGAACTTTTATGAACTGCAAAAAATAATTTTTTAAGATTAAAGAATATAAATATATTTTTGTACCATGATTATAAGAGCAAAGTGATTATGTTGAATGTTTATCAAAATATATTATATAGTATTATTGGGTTGTACAAATAGTTTGGTGCATATGATAAAATAGTTTATTTATATGAAAAAATAAATCATTATAAAACTATAAAAACATTATGCTAGCTTGTTGATTGTAAAAATAACTAATTTAAATTTTTAAATTATATTTATATATATAATATATAATAAATTTAAGTTACTTTATTTAATTTATTTTGCATAGTTGTTAATACTTGTTAACTGATTAATTAAGTGAGCCATGTCAAATTTAAAATGCTGTATCTGCAATGATAATGCAAGAGGTCAATGTTATTTTATATACCATTTTTGGTGATGGTAAATATTTATAAAAAAAATTATATACTCTATTACTAGGTGTGAATTACGGTGCGATAACATGCTTGTCGTGTAAAATATTTTTCGTCAGGAATGCTAACAAATATAACGTGAGAAAGGACATTTATTTGATGTAAATAATTTGTTTTAAATTTAAGAATCTTTAGGAATTAAAGTGTTTTTTCAGTGGAAACTGTAAAGTCGGAGTTAATTCACGCAAAACGTGCCCCAAATGTAGACTTAATATGTGTTATAAGTTGGGAATGAAAAAGGTAAGCATAGTATTTATTATTTTTAACACGGTTAATTTGGAAATTTATTTTAATATAACTTTAAAATATTTAAATATTTTCCAATAGTCTTTTCATATTTTACCTGGAGCAATTATATATGCGATAAATAATCACCAATTAAACTTATTTTATTTAGAATTATATCAACATCAATAGAAAGGTTAAATTATTGAACAACCCCAAAACTTTAAGCCCAAAATCAAAAGTGAAACAGGTCAATCTTATGGACAATTATGAAGACTTAATAAATTATGAACAAGATTATTTATGGCTACAAACAGGAACTGAAAATGATTATTATATAAAATACGATTTAAATGTTGATAAGGATATTGGTGAATTTATTAATCAAGTCACAGAATTTATTGATTGTAAAAGGGAACGTGACTTATAAATGAGCTTTCTTAATAATTTAAAAACTAAATCAATTTGCATTAATTATTAACTTTTAAAATAAAATATATTGATTATTGAATTTGCGTTTAAAATATTTTTATTTTATAATGTAGCATAAAAATATATCACTAATTATTTAGCATAAATCAATTTACTATTAATCATTATTATTACAAAATATTTTGTGTAGATTTAACATTCGCAGCGCAATAGTATATCATGGTATTAACAGCAACATCTACATCGTGTGTCCCGGTTGATAGCTCGCAGATATTTCTAAACACACCAAGCTTATTAATAGCGTATGTGTTCTGTAATAAAACAAATTATAATTACTTTTTTACAATTTAATTAATAATTAATATTATATAACACTTACTCTACTAAACACATAACACTTCTCATTGAAAGTGTCGACAAGTTTCTTATAACAGTCCCTATTATTGAGCTCTAGTTTGCCATTCAATGCGATATTGGCGTCAATTCCCGGCAATTCATTCACGTATTCCTCGATCTGTTTGTCCAACAATTGTCTCGCGCTTAATAAGCCCTTCAATTGCTGCACGTATTGTAACTTTTCATCAATGTCATTTGTGATCTTAATTTTATGCTGCAAACGGTACAACTCTGAGTCACGAATTGGTGCCATACCACTAGGTTTATATGGCACATGATTGCTATTCACTGGCACCTTTTTGTCACCTACATAAAATTATATAACATGAAATTTATAGCAATGGTAACATGATAAATTAGTTTATAAATACCCATATAATTAGATACAGGCTGTTTAGTAGCAATAGACAAATCGCCATACTGCTGAGCGTGCTGGCTATAATTGCTACCGTCCATGGTGAAATTATTATGTATCTTTATGTACTCGTATTGGGTCGAGATAAGTTCCTTGGTCAAATCGTTGTGTTCGCTGTCATCAAGCCAGGTAACCGCAAAAAATACAGCTAAAATATATAACATTGTTCATTAATTAACTAAGTTTATTAATTTAATTAGAAATATACCTAGGTATGTGTTAAGGTTAGTATGGTCACTTTCGGCTTTCCAACCTAATTCACCAGGCAATGTTGCTGTCAATGCGTAAACATTGATATCAGTTGGCAATAGTTTGGCAAACATTGAGCCTTGATCATTAATAATAAAAGTTTTGTAGTAATCCAGTATGTTTAGTAAATCAAATAATTTATATACATACCAGCTTCGCAAGCAGCCAGATAAAATACTAGCTGGGAGAATTTGTTTTCTTTATGCATGTCAATGAGCACATTATTCAGATCCTTAGCGTGCAATGTAGTCGTTGGGAAAAATACGACCTCTGTTAATTAATGTATATTAACTTTAAATAATGATTTATTAGTGTAATTTAAACATAAGTAACATGTACAATTACTAATGTTATATGAATTACAAAATGAAATAATCTGAATAACATTGAACTTAATTAAACTGATCATTATTAATAAAGGGAGCTGACAAATTAAATAAAATATTATAATTTAAAATTTCCCATTGCTTACCATCACCACCATGGTCATCTAAGTAGACAAATATACGATCGTTGGGTCCACTCTTAACTACCTTTTTGCCCGCTTTCTCTAATTTTTCGTCACCTTTAAGAATACCCAAGAAGTTCTGAAAATTAAAATATATCATGTTAAAATAAAAATTTAAACTAGTTACAATACTATTAGTTACCTCAGGGTTGACATCTTTGCCGATGTAGTGTTTGGGCACTTCATACGGTGTTTTATAGACATCTTTACCGCCGACTCGGTTGATGACCACACCGGGTGTGGGGTTACTCTTATGGTGAGCAATATCGTCGTAATGCATGACAACTATGTTTTCGTCGGGTATTCCGTGTTGACGAACCACTTGGTAGGCGTGGTATACGTCCGCCTTTAGGGTATGGAAAATATATTTAAACTTTAAAATTATACATTTTATCTATGGGTGCTAATCTGTGATAAAAAGTGTAAACTAGTGTACACTATTTTTTACTTTCTTAATTAGTAATATTAAAACTATAATGATAAACTAAATACTAGTGTTGTGAGCCATGAATGAATTTGTTAAAGTGTTTTAACACTAGCTACCACTTCGCACAGATTAGTACTTGTAGCATTATATACTAGTTACTAGGGTGACCAGAACGTCCTCCGTGAGGAGGATTGTCCTTCTTTGGACCCCTCAAAACACTGTCCTCCCCGGTGTCTGAGGAGGACATTGAGATGTCCTTCTTGGACATAAATCGCGTAAAAATGTATCTTTTGTTAATTTTAGATGTTTTATAGTAAATATGTGTATAATTGTGTATGTGTATAAGTATGTGTACAATTGTATTATTGAATTCAATACTATTTTTGACAAAATACTATCTAAAGATTGTTTTATCAATTAAAGTTCATACTTGCCTCAATAAATATAGGAGTTTTATAAAGTTAATTATTTAAAATTTAATTATTTTGTAAAAATATCTCGAATTTATATGATGAGTATTTTTTAAGTTATTTAAGTGTATACAGGCAAATAATTAATTTAGATTTGAAAATAGCCTGTCCTCCTCACGTCCTCCCCATAACATTCAATTTATGGCAAATGTCTTCTTTGGTGCTCAAAATTTTCTGGTCACCCTACTAGTTACTAGTATGACTTTAAAAATAAATGACTAATTATATAATTTCATTTATTTTAGTGCGTGATACATATTAATTTATTGGTAAATTAAAAATATACTACAGAATTTTCATAATATCTTTGTTATCATCAGAAAAGTTAGATAAGTATATGCTTAAATGGTGTTGTGAAAGGTCATACCTCCATGCCATAGTTCTCCCAGCCTGATGAGCTGGCAGCTAATACCACCCAGGTCTTTCCCGCATGGGGTTCCCGTAATTTGTCTAGAAATGGGACCGCATTTACGGTAATGAATAATAACGAAAACACTGCAAACACTTTCATGTTGTTACTTTATAATTAACTAATACTGCTAATAACGAGCATTGTCTATTTATACAGAATTTCAAGTTTTAAATACTTTACGTTACTTTGATAATGATTACTTAAGTGAGCCTGAAACCATAATTTGTAGATAGTACCATTGTTTAAACATAATGTGCATGTGATATTGTATCATACAATAACTTATTTTTCCACTTGCTTTAAACGTTCTCTATGCAGTATAAAATATAATCTAGATCACATGTTATAACTTTTTATTTAAAATGTCAAATATACATTTAATTGTATTACATTGACAATGAACTAAAAAATTGTAGGCTATCTATCCTGATAATATTTATATTATAACATTAAACAAAGGAAACTGTGTGGGGCCTAAGGCACAAGTATGTTGTCATTTACATAATACGATAAAAATTTTCTTATGAATTGTTTTCAAATGTTAAGTGAATTTTGATTTCTAGTACAATGTGTAATAAACATTTAAAACTTTTTATTGCTTTAAAAAATTTATTATAAATTAAACTAAATCAGTAATTGTGAATTAATAATTTATTTTATAATCAATATGGACATATTTACTAACTTAAACAACAATGTAATAAATAACAGAACAATATTAGTGTTGTTAGATTATACAATATATTGTATTGATATGATAGCTAAATTATTTGACAAGCTAAACCGTTTTATTATAAGTATTTTACTAATAAAAATAATAATTTTTTATTACGTAAGCAAACTAAAATATTAAATATTAAATATATAAAATTTATTATAAATATTTAAATAATCTGTTACTTTGAATTGTAGACTTTACTTTATATTAATTAAAATTACATGATAATAAATGAAAGGTATATGTAAAGACCAAGAGTAATTAAGGTAAATTTGCATAGATTATAATACTGCTAAAATAAATTGAATTAAATTTATAATAAATTAATAAAAATACTTTAAAGAAATTGACATTTAATTTATAAAAATTAATCAAGCATAATTTAATAAGCTATTTTGCAAATACATTAAAAATGTGTAATATTATATAAATGTTAACATCTTAAAAATAGTGCTTTATAAAAGTAATAATTTTATTAAAAGTACATAACACTAGTAATCTATACTTGCAATAATTAATAATTACACATAATGATGACTTTGAGATAAAGAACTATTATTTTGTTAATCATATAAACACAAACTTAACTATTAATACTTATACCTTTGTATAATATATCGAGATTAATTTTTATTTTATAATAATAATTTCTAATTCCAATTATTGATAGTTAATTAAAATAATTAATCTAAATTTGTAATATGCTAATTTTTCCTTAACGCATACAATATACTAGTGTTGTATTAAATTATAAATACTGACTATAATTTACAACACTAGCTTGGCTCTGTAGCCCATGTATGTTAATTTATGCCGTTGTTGGTAATATCAGAATTGAGAGTATATGTAGAATTGCCCAGGGCACCTAGTAGATAAACTTGACACGATGAGTTGAAACTGCCGGTTAGGGTCCATATTCGGTAAATGGCTGTACCAGTAGTCACACCAGTAATCTGATTGCACCCATCAACCTGGTCAACCTGGAATATTGACATTCCCCAGAATTGCGAGTTTACACAGGGTCCGTCAAATACTAACCACTCTCATGCAACGATCTGTCACCTATTAGATTATAATCAAGTTTTTTCAGCTTAATATTGAACTAATTGAACTGTACATACAAATAAGTTGCGTTAAACCTGTACAGTTCATTAGGGGTTATGGTCAATTAGGTTACTATTATAGCTATGATGCGCATACATTGTGATCCAGGCCACATTAACAGTGACAAAAGTGTGAATATTATAACATTACTCAGTATTTAAATTAATGTTAAAATGTTAAAAACTTTATCACTTATAGTGTGGCTCAGGATTGGTTCAATGGTACAATGTAGTATTATAGTATAGGTCCTATATATGGGTCCAAAATTGATAACTCGTAACTAATTAAACATATTTAGCGTACATTAAGGTCTGATGTAATTATTGACTTATAATAAAGGGGATGAATGTTTAGAAATATTTTAATGCAATACACAAATGCTTTAATACAAAAACAAAAATATAGTTAGCGTGCAGTTGTAGCTAAACTGTTATTTATAATCATGCTCAACTCGTTACCGTTGAATCGGTTTATTTTATTAAATGTCTCAACTGAATGCATTCAGTTTAAAATACCGTTAGTATATGTGTTGACTCCGAGGTATTGTCCGACAGTAATGTTGGTAACTGTAGTGTCGGTTCGCTGGACACCACTGAATGTGATGTTACTGTTGGCGATAGTGAGCCCATTGCAGGTGACAGGTGTGCGGTAAGACCCGGAGGACACGATGGTGTCGATGGCGATGGCACTCGTCGTACTGGTATTGCACACAAACGTGTTGTCGTACGTGAGCGTAGTGTTCACAATAGGGGTGAATGCTATACATTGTGTCCATTGTGTCCATTGTGTATATATTATGCAATTATCATATAAACCAATATCACATATTAATCAACACATTGAGTGAGGGAGATTCAACTCAATTGTTTCACACTTACCAACATTGGTCCAGTTGACAGTGGGTGACACTTGGAGTCACCAAGAACATTTGGAAATTATAAACCTAAATTATAATCTATTTTATGAACATAGTGTACTTTACTTACCGGTAAGAGTGCTTGCAGATTTGACTCCTATATTTAATACGATGCACATAATAAATGCAAATGAGCTCACTATTAGCAGTGTATTCATTATACAGTGTGTTTCACCATGGACCTCTGACTTTTAATTCAAATATCTCAAAAAATAAACTAGATAGCACGGTACTTTCGACGGTTTCTAAAACTAGAAAGTATGGGAAATTTTTTGACATACTGATCACCCAGGTGCGACTTATATTAATGTTATTTCTATGGACACTCTTGCAGACAAGAGTTACAGTATGAACAAAATGAGCAAGATAA